TTCTAACACGCCCCCACATGTGTACGTCACGATGTGGGAAGATTTGCATAACTCCGCCCAAATGTTCACGCAAAGAAAGAAGGCATAATTTTGATTCTCGCTGTAGTATTGTTGCTGCCGCCATGTCTTGAAGATGCTGTGTGTTTCGTTGTGAAAGTGAAACTACTTTGTTTGGCCTTCCAAAAGAGGACGATATCCGCTTCGTCATGCCTAGAGCTGATCCGTGCTGGTCACTGAGGAAATACATCAACTTCGCGCTGTGGATCGCCGGATCGGCTTTCACCGTGGACGAAGCGGAGTCCAGCCCGGAGCTGATCTGTGCTGGTCGCTGAGGAAATACATCAACTTCGCGCTGTGGATCGCCGGATCGGCTTTCAACGTGGACGAAGCGGAGTGCAGCCCGGGGTCATCACATGTGTTTGCCGCAAGCCCGCCGGCCGTGCCATTCTCAAGCCCGCCGGCCGCTCACTCTAGCCGCTGGCCGCCACTCATTCTAGCCCGCCGGACTCCGCTCACTCTAACCCGCCGGCCTCCGCTCACTCTAGCTCGCCGGACTCCGCTCACTCTAACCCGCCAGCCTCCGCTCACTCTAGCCCGCCGGACTCCGCTCACTTAATACACACAGTTGTATTTACAACACTGTTCCAGAACAGTTCAACCCAAATATTCACGAAACACACAGCGTCACACATGGCAGAGAGTGGGCGGAGGCCGGCGGGTTTGAGAATGGCGCGGCCGGCGGGCTTGCGGCAACCATATGTGACGACCCTGGGCTGCACTCCGCTTCGTCCATGGTGAAAGCAGTTTATGGTGAAAGCAGTTTATCACAGCACGAAGTTTATGTATTTCCTTAGCGACCAGCACGGATCAGCTCTAGGCATGACGAAGCGGATATCGTCCTCTTTTGGAAGGCCAAACAAAGTAGTTTCGCTTTCACAACGAAACACACAGCGCCTCCACAACATGGCGGCGGCAGCACCAACAATACTACAGCGAGAATCAAAGTTACGCCTGTTTTCTTTGCGTGAACATTTGGGCGGCATTATGCAAATCTTCCCACATAGTGACGTAGACATGTGAGGGCGTGTTGAGACTTTAGTCTTTGCAACTTTACAGATCTTCTTTATGCACCAAGAGCTTGTAACACTTCAAAGAGAAAGGAAAAATTGAAATCGCATCATATGACCCCTTTAAACAGAAAGTATTTGTGTAAAGAACAGTTGCTCAACCACCTCCAGCAGTACTGTGACCTGTTAAATGTTACAAAATGCAAATCACTGAAGGCCTTCAATTATTCAATTGTTTATTTTAAGTTTGAGTACTTTTTTTTACCCTTTAGCAATGTTTTCTGACTTTCTTAGAACCTGATATTGGACTCTTTTAGGTCCTTAATAGAACGAAGGTGCATTACTTTAATCTGTAAATTATTATGTTCCTTATAAATTTGAGTTTAAAAGACCCATTGTTTGCCTATTTTCAACAACACTGGAATTTATTTGTCTTTTTTTTGTAATTTTCTATCTTTGTCTTTTCTTTTCTGTCATGTATTTGCATGAATCACTCAAGGATTTCCAGTAATGCCTTTGTAATGCTTTGTAATTCTATAATCCTTTGTGTGCTATTAAAAATCTTTATAAAACTGACATTTGAAATTAATCTAGAAAAGTTTAATTTTATGTCAAAAAGAAAAGTTACTTTGAGAAGATTTTGTATAGTAAAATTATTTTTTAAAACTCTGAATAATAATAACAAATAACTCCAAATATATTATTTTCGAAAAAATTATATATATTAATATTATACACTGAACAAAATTATAAACGCAACACTTTTGTTTTTGCCCCCATTTTTCATGAGCTGAACTCAAAGATCTAAGACTTTTTCTATGTACACAAAAGGCCTATTTCTCTCAAATATTGTTCACAAATCTGTCTAAATCTGTGTTAGTGAGCACTTCTCCTTTGCCAAGATAATCCATCCACCTCACAGGTGAGGCATATCAAGATGCTGATTAGACAACATGATTATTGCACAGGTGTGCCTTAAGCTGCCCACAATAAAAGGCCACTCTAAAATGTGAGCCTAAGGCACACCTGTGCAATAATAATGCTGTCTAATCAGCATCTTGATATGCCACACCTGTGAGGTGGATGGATTATCTCGGCAAAGGAGAAGTGCTCACTAACACAGATTTAGACAGATTTGTGAACAATATTTGAGAGAAATAGGCCATTTGTGTACATAGAAAAAGTCTTAGATCTTTGAGTTCAGCTCATGAAAAATGGGGGCAAAAACAAAAGTGTTGCGTTTATAATTTTGTTCAGTGTATATGGAAGATGAAATAGTCTGGATATACCGTTGAACCTCTTTTTAAAAAAATAATAAAGGATTTTGATGAGTGAATTTACTGCAGTGAATATGAAATTTTGCAAGAATTATAGGTTAATAATAAAGTAGGCTATTCATTAATTTTATCTTTTTGAGTATTAAAGAAGCTGAACATTACATTCTTAAAAATCAGAGAGAACCCCGGGAGCACATTGCGATTAGAAAATTCAATCCAAAATAGCTGTGTGTGAGGACAATCCCAGAAGATATGAATATCAGTTTCATTAGAGGCACCACAAAAAGAACAGCTTGTATCTATGTCCATATCTAAACTACCGAAACTACAACACAACCGACAACTGACATACGCCTTCAACTCCGGAAGTGTTTCCTTTAACGGAAGTTCTAATGTGACCAAGAAAGATGGCGGGGGATTCTGCAATGGAGCTGCTTTTTTTAGATACGTTCAAGCATCAAAGTGCAGAGGTAAGCTTGCGAAGTTTTCCATCTTCACCCGTGTCTTTTAACCGCATGTTACAGAGACTAAAGTCTAACAGACATTAAAATATTTTTCTCTCGTTCTTAAAGTTTCCATTGTAATAACGCACTGAGCGCTGCCTGTGAACAGTTAGTTAGCTTGCTAATTGCCACAGTAATTCATACATATTAAATTAATTAAAGAGAGTATTCACATTTCATAATAACACCCGTTATTCTTCATTTAAAACAATTACGTTAACCTACTATAAGTTAGATGTTGTATGGCAGAGCAAACCTGATGGTATTGTATTAACGTTACGTGTAAGTTGTTCCCCAGAGCAAGCAAACTCGTGGCTATATTGTTGTTTACAGCGTTGCTATTAACAAGCAGAACCGTTTATTTATTGACAATAACATTTTCATATATTGTAGTAAACGTATCAGCCAGTGCTTGTTCAGTTACGCCCCCGGTGCTCAGATGAGCTCATGGTTCATGTTTTTGTGACAGCATCGCATGTGCATGTTAACAAGTTGATCTGTCTGTTATTTATAGACCTTTACAGAGGTAGCCAGGGGTTAAGTGTGTGGAGTTGGGGTCAATAAAAAAAATCAGAGACCCCCCTACATTTAATGTATCGTTTAGCTAGAGCTCTTATTTAACAGCTTGGATGTTTGAAAGTTTTGTTGTTCTGTGATCATGTAAATTCTGTACTGATAAAGAAATAGTTCACTTAAAAATTAAAATTTGCTAAAAAATTTAATCACCTTCAAGCCATAGATGATTTTTGAAGATTTGAAGAAATTTAGCATTGTGTCACTTGCTCGCCAGTGGATCCTCTATACCAGGGGTATTCCTGGAGGGCCGGAGCCCTGCAGAGTTTAGATTCAACCCTAATTAAACACAC